TTGGTTTATCATTCCATACTTCTGGAGGTTCATGGTCAGAAGACTAGACCAGGCCTGACTGAATAATGGGCTACAGTAAGGATATTGAAACCAAATTATTGAGAATGTTTAGATTAGTGCACATGTTTAAAAAAACCTTGACAAATAAGCACTTAGACACTCTGTATGTCACTTGGCAAATACTCAGAAACTGTTGAACTAAACAAAAACACAAAAGTAGTTCCAAGGTTCTTTGCTCATTCAGTAGCTTGGGCCTTGTTTCTTAACTGTAAAATGAGGAATAGGAATTAAATCTTTTCAGTGCTAAGCATTTGGTCAAATAAAGAATAAACATATGATTTAAATCATGTTTTTCTCTCCCTCTTCTAGCTTGAACAGATGGATTTAGAAGTCCGAGAGATACCACCCCAAAGTCGAGGAATGTACAGTAACAGAATGAGAAGCTACAAGCAAGAAATGGGAAAACTCGAAACAGATTTTGTGAGTCGAATTCCATTCTTTGTCATATTTATTGATTTTTAAACTGAATTTTCACTTATATTGTTTGTTTCCACCTCATGCCTCAACTATCATTAAGTGCATAGTCTTCAGGGGCTCCTGCAGAAAACAAGCAACAGCTTTCACTGTTTATGAACTGAGGATCAGAAAAATGGCTATAGTTAGATAGCTAATGATGGAATTTAAGATATTGTTGGATTCATGACTTGTATGATCCTGTTCACCTTGTTAGAACTAAGTACCTAATGATGATTTCAGATAGTTGCTTTAAATAATCACCTTGCTAAGTAATGATTTAATTTTCTGGTGCTAATTCACATTGATGTTGAGACATGTGAACAATTTAAATGATCGTGTTTAAATTAAGGCTAATTAAAATTGTCTTTTTTTTCTTTATAAAAATTGAGGCTTGTTAATGGAAACATGATAATTTGGTTTATGTATATTCTGCTATAGTTATTCAGTCTCTAACACTGGACAAGTTTCGTTAATGATAAGCTTATAGTGTTCATGGAAATAGCTTATTAGAATGTCTTAAAAGACAAAATATATGCCAACATTTTTGCCTGTGAGGTTCTTAGAGATGGCATGGGCCAATTTGTTGTTGTTACCAGTATTTATTTTTTAAGGCCAAATGCAAATAAGTTGCCTCTGGTACCTTGTATAGTGCTTGCTGTATTTATTCTTTATCATCAGTAATCATCATTACTATAGTAAACATTAATCTATCAATTACCAAGAAAGAGACACTGTTCTAAGCACATTATAGGAATTACCTCGTTTAATCTTCACAGCTGCCCTAGGAAAGAGATACTATTTTAGAAATGATAAAAATAAGTCAGAGAGATATTAGGAAACCTGTCCAAGGTGCTGTGACTAGTAAGTAGTGGAGCCTATGATGTGAACACAGGAGTCTGACTCCAAAGCCTGTGTTCTGGACTGTTACAGTGTTTCTTTATTGCCAGCCATTAAACTCTCATATGTTATACCCAAAGTATTATATGATGATAGGTTGTTAAAAAGTGCCCTGTTGAGGGGCCAGCCCGGTGGCGCACTGCTACAGTGCACCGCTTGGGAAGCGTGATGGCGCTCCCGCCGAGGGTTCGGATCCCACATACAGACCAGCCGCTCACTGGCTGAGCAAGGTGCGGGAGCAACACCGAGGGTTGCGATCCCATTGCCGGTCCCCGTCCGGTATGGGCGCGACACTGAGGGTTGCGATCTGTTGCCGGTCATGAAAAAAGACAAAAAGGAAAAAAAAAAAAAAGTGCCCTGTTGTGATTTCAGTGAGCTATGTGTAATTTAGCATATTATTGTATCCAGTAAACCCCATATCAATGTGATTATAAAGTATAAGGAGTTAGACTGGAGGGTGAGATCACATGTTGGTTAGTATGTGATTTTCCTAATCAGAAAAGACTTTCCAGGAGAAATTTCACCAAATAACTAAGGCTGAGCATATGTTTCATGGATTAACCACAGGAAATAATGGTTTGGTTTATCATTCCATACTTCTGGAGGTTCATGGTCAGAAGACTAGACCAGGCCTGACTGAATAATGGGCTACAGTAAGGATATTGAAACCAAATTATTGAGAATGTTTAGATTAGTGCACATGTTTAAAAAAACCTTGACAAATAAGCACTTAGACACTCTGTATGTCACTTGGCAAATACTCAGAAACTGTTGAACTAAACAAAAACACAAAAGTAGTTCCAAGGTTCTTTGCTCATTCAGTAGCTTGGGCCTTGTTTCTTAACTGTAAAATGAGGAATAGGAATTAAATCTTTTCAGTGCTAAGCATTTGGTCAAATAAAGAATAAACATATGATTTAAATCATGTTTTTCTCTCCCTCTTCTAGCTTGAACAGATGGATTTAGAAGTCCGAGAGATACCACCCCAAAGTCGAGGAATGTACAGTAACAGAATGAGAAGCTACAAGCAAGAAATGGGAAAACTCGAAACAGATTTTGTGAGTCGAATTCCATTCTTTGTCATATTTATTGATTTTTAAACTGAATTTTCACTTATATTGTTTGTTTCCACCTCATGCCTCAACTATCATTAAGTGCATAGTCTTCAGGGGCTCCTGCAGAAAACAAGCAACAGCTTTCACTGTTTATGAACTGAGGATCAGAAAAATGGCTATAGTTAGATAGCTAATGATGGAATTTAAGATATTGTTGGATTCATGACTCACGAATAGATACAAATCACGTCCTTTGAGTCTGGATAGTATTTATTGGTATTTAACATTTATTAGAATTTTGAACCCAGTTTCTGGCATTATAGAGTTTGCAGCCTTTAAGATGCAGTGCGTGTGGATGGCCTTCAGGGTTTCGTAAATCTCCTGAAAGTATATTCATACTTTTGGATGCACATTCCTGTATGCATTTTTTCTTGGGATAAGCTCCATAGACTTCATTAGAGTCTTAAAAGGATTTATTATATCCCTCCCCCACAAAAGATAAAAAGAACTACTTTCAATTAATAATTTATATAAGTGATTCTTTATATTGATTGCCCATGAGAATATTTAGCTTTCTCTTTCTATATATTTGACTTTCAACTCTACACACTTTATAGAAAATTTAAAAATATAAATTTAAGGGTATAATGTTAAAGTTGTTAGTAATTTGCAATTAATAAGAGTAAAAATAATACAGATGAGCAATTCCATTTCTGGTTATGTATCCAAAAGAATTGGAAGCAGGGTCTCGATGAGATATCTGCATATCCAAGTTCATAGCAGCATTTTCACATTAGCAAAGAGGTGGAAGCCACTAAATGCCCATTGATGTATGAATGTACAGTCATCACCCCTTAACCAAGGTTTCACTTACCGAGGTTTCAGTTACCTGCGGGGGCTCAGGGGTGGTGGGCCCCAAACCTCCCAGTAGCCCCCTTGATCCCCCGCCATGGGATGTGCAAGAGAGGGAACCGGTAGGATGAATCCTGCCACCCTAGTGGCCAGGAGAGCCCAGGAGGAAGGTGAGTCTGCCTCCCGCCTATTCAGCCCACAGAGAGACACTCAGACGTGGCAGGGGTTCCATCAAGCAGTTCCGTTTATTTTCACACAAGCACCTGCTTTTATAAGCAGATGGCAAGGGGATTTCCTAACTTCAACTTATCATCTTAAAGGTCATGTGAACATGCATCTTGCTCTAATGCTTCGCTATTGCAATCACGCGGTGAGCACAAGCACGGAAATATCTTTTATCCAATAATTTTAAACTATGGCTTTCCCTGGCCACTCCCCAGTGGCTTTCATCAGGTGCCATCTTTATCTCTCCTGTCCAGGCGAATGTTTTCCACAGATTACATACGCGTATGTGGGTGGGGTCGTGGCTAGTTCTCTGCCCCGGGAGGAAGTGTGTGGCCTCAACACCCCAACAGGTCCCCCTTTTTGTTTTTTATGAGCAGCTGTAGGCGGCTAACCTCACAGCCTCGCCAGCCTCAAGTGGTTGTGCCTGTCTTAGGTTGTCCCCCTCTGGGGATCTTACTCATCACTGACTCTCCAACCAAGCGGAGGTCTGGTGGAACTCTTTAGCATCTGGAATAAATTTTTTGGAGGGCCATATTTACCCATGGGTTAGAGGGTTTCTTTTCTTGGGCCACCTCATCTACCACTTGGGCGAGCATAGTGATAGACCCCACATTACGTCATATAAGGTTAATTATTTTGGTAAGCACCAATGGGCCAATTGTTACTGCTAACAAGAGGATAACAACGGGACCCCCCCCCCCCCATAATAAGGTTGTGAGCCAAGGAGAATTATTAAACCATGATTGAAACCAACTTGCCTGAGCTTTTTGTTCTCTTTTGTGCTTTTCTAAATTTTCTCTAACCTTAGCTAAAGATTCATGCACTACTCCTGAATGATCAGCGTAAAAGCAGCACTTTTCTTTGAGGGCAGCACATAAGCCCCCCTGCTGTAAAAATAAAAGATCTAATCCTCTACGATTTTGTAACACAACCTCAGAAAGGGAGGTTAATGAAGTTTGCATATGGCTTATAGAATGTTCTAATTGGCCTAAATCTTCATCTGCAGTCTGTCTTAAATCTTGAATGTTTTGGTAAGCATGTGCTATTCCTGCTGTTCCTGTGCTGGCACCGATGACCCCGAAGACGGAGGATACGGCCACTGCGGCTCTGATGCCTCTTTTATGTAATCGCTTTCCCTTGGTTGTCCAATGTGTGCACATCTCGGATCCTTCGTGCCAGTATACCTTGGGAAGAATGTCTACTGCAACACAAATTTCATTGTTAAAAGAAGCATTATATATACAAGATGTAAGTCCTGACTGGGTGCACAGCCATTACCCCTGGGAGGGCTTATTCCATTGTCCTGTGAGTGTTACTTGTTTATCACAAAAGGTGGTGTCATTGCCTGCTATACAGACTCCCTTACCCACAACGTGCTGCATAGTAAGTCCAGGCCATGACTGATTATGGACATTTAAGTGCAGTATAAGTGGCATTTATAATTGCCCATAAACTGGGAGTGCTGGGGCGGGGCTCATCCTTGGTTTGAGGGGAGTGTGTACTGTTTGTTTCTTTAGTATTGGTAAGAGCTGATGGTTTGATAAGAACTTGGTTTGGTCCCACACTACTAGTAATAGGTTGCGTGGAATATTTAATTGAAAAAAGAATTCCATCATCATATCCGTTTTTGTATAATCTTAATCCCCATACAAGGCCACTCCGGAGGTTTTTAAGTGTTTCTGCTGTTATCTTGTCTTGGCAGAGGGTTATTATTAAAGGCATGCATTTTTTTTTTTTAACTATAATATAGTCCCAAGAGGATGATGGGTTCCAATTGGCATCGCCGGTAGTTTCACACCCCCAAGATGCACAGTAAAACAAGGAGGTAGCATGGCAACTTGTTGTACTCCTGTACTATAGGGGTCGGCAGTCCCTGACGACATCCCAAATGTAATGGGGATCACAGGATTTGCTGCCTGGTTTCTCTCCGCCTGGAGGTGGCATTCCTCCTTAAAAAAGGCACAGAACTTTATGTACAAGGCACCAGGGAGTACGGCCCTACATAACATTTTCCAGTCTTGGGTGGTGCAAGATTGGTGGGCCAACCCCTGAAAGATGGTCTCAGCCCAAGGCGAGTTGGGCCCATCTTCTGCAACTGCCTTTTTTAAATCTTTTAAATCGCCAGGTTCCCATGGGTTCCAAATGGCAGGTCTATTTCCCCCTGGGTTAATGTTTACAGGATAGGTCTGGAGCTGATCCCTTGGGCTTATTGGGTGTTCCCATGTTTCTGTAAACATTTTTTTTTGAACAAGCGTGTGAACAGTATATGCCTGTGGCTGATCGTTAAATGGCGGAGGTGGTCCCCAAGGGTTTTGAGGGGTGGAGTATTCATCCAAGGGACAGGGAAGTGGAGGATATAATTTGCTCTCGGGTTCCTCAGAGCAAGGGGGACCTTGGTGTTGGGATCCCCCCACATCCTTTTCAAAAACTGTCTTGGGGTTGGTGGGCTGTGGGGCTCCTTCAGATGTAGTAGATGGGGCTTAGTTTGGGCCCGCTCCTGTGTAAACTGGGCCCATTTACATTCTATCTCTATATGATCGGGGCTGGCCCCCTGCGTGGGCGGAAAACATGTTTTGAGGGCAGATATGGTGGGATAGAACCCCAACAGCGGGTGTATTCCGTGATGGACTTCTCTCTGATGGGTCAGTGTCTGGACTTGATCCCAGGTGTTATAGGAAAAAAAATTAGCCGAGGGCACCCAGGGGGCCACCTGCATCAAGGCCTCTCAGGTCCTGTTAGCCACGTTGTCTGAGAGGT